CTCGTGTACCGTCAGGGTACCGTCAGGACCTGGTACCGTCAGGACTGTGTACCGTCAGGACTCCGTGTAGGACCGTCCGTCAGGACCCGTGTACCGTCAGGACGTGTACCGTCAGGATCCGTACCGTCAGGACCCGTGTACCGTCAGGACTCGACCGTCAGTGTACCGTCAGGACCCGTGTACCGTCAGGACTCCTGTACCGTCAGGACTCCTGTACCGTCAGGACTCGTGTACCGTCAGGACTAAGTCCTGTACCGTCAGGACTCGTGTACGTCAGGACTCGTACCGTCAGGACTCGTGTACCGGTAGTCAGGACTCCTGTGTACCGTCAGTCGCACCGTGGACTGTACCGTAGGTACCGTCAGGACCCGTGTACCGTCAGGACTCCTGTACCGTCAGGACTGTGTACCGTCAGGGTCCGTGTACCGTCAGGACTCCTGTACCGTCAGGACCGTGTACCGTCAGGACTGTACCGTCAGTACCGTCAGGACTCGGACTCCTGTACCGTCAGGGTCCGTGTACGTCAGGACTCGTGTACCGTCAGGACTCCTGTACCCGTCAGGGTCGTGTACCTCATCAGTACCGTCAGTGTACCGTCCTGTACCGTCAGACTCGGTACCGTCCTTCAGGGTCCTGTACCGTCAGGACCCCGTGTACCGTCAGGACCGTGTACCGTCAGGACTGTACCGTCAGGGTCCGTGTACCGTCAGGGTCCGTGTACGTCAGGACTCGTGTACCGTCAGGGTCCGTGTACCGTCAGGACTCGTTACTGTCCGTACCGTCAGGACCCGTGTACCGTCAGGACCGTTACGTCAGGACTCCTGTACGTCAGGGTCCGTGTACCGTCAGGGTCCCGTGTATTCATCGTGTACCGTCAGGGTCCGTACGTCAGGACTCCTGTACCGTCCAGGACCCGTGTACCGTCAGGATCCTGTACCGTCAGGGTCTGTACCGTCAGGACCCGTGCACCGTCAGGATCCTGTACCGTCAGGGTCCGTGTACCGTCAGGGTGCACCGTCAGGACTCCTGTACCGTCAGGACCGTTCCACCGTGTACCGTCAGACTGACCGTCTCTGTACCGTCAGGACTCGTGTACCGTCCGTCAGGACTCGTGTACGTCAGGACCGTCAGGACTCCTGTACCGTCAGGACTCCTGTACCGTCAGGACTCGTGTACGCGCTGCTCCTAATTGTGTTATTTGGTCGGTTTCCTCCCCCTCACCTCGTCCATAATAACCGTTACATGTTCTATTAAAACGCCGCCCTCCTTCCTGCCCGTAATCGAGGCCGGGGAACATTACGAGCTGCGTCGGCTCAAATTAGCGCTTGACCCGGTGCCTCCGAACGGGCGGAGAATGGAGCCGGAGAGAGAGTGGGACTGAGCTCGTCGTTATCAGGGCAGTGAGTGTGTGTTTTTTTTTTCTGGAGCTGGAATGTGCAGAAGATTATTAACATGATGTAGAAAATGTTTTAGTGGTTTAAAAAAGTGGAATATTGAAGAAGCACTTGGTTTAAAGACGGATTTTTCCAAGGTCCAGGATGTTACTGTTGTATCCTTTAACTGGAATCATCTACTCCACGCAAATACATGAATATATCCAGGACTGAACCAGGTCTAAACCAGGTCTAAACCAGGACTGAACCAGGTCTAAACCAGGACTAAATCAAGAGGACTAAACCAGGACTGAACTAGAACTAAACCAGGACTAAACCTGGACTGAATCAGGACTGAGTCAAGATTACACCAGGTCTAAACCAGGTTTAAACCAGGTCTAAACCAAGTCTAAAGCAGGACTAAAACAGAACTGAACCATGACTAAACCAGGACTACACCAGGACTGAACCAGGACTGGACCAGGACTAAACCAGGACTAAAACAGAACTGAACCATGACTAAACCAGGACTACACCAGGACTGAACCAGGACTGGACCAGGATTGGACCAGGACTAAACCAGGACTAAAACAGAACTGAACCAGGACTAAACCAGAACTTAACCAAGATTAAAACAGGACTATACTAGGACTAAACCAGGATTGAATCAGGAGGACTAAACCAAGTCTAAACCAGGTCTAAACCAGGTCTAAACTAGGTCTAAACCAGGACTAAAACAGAACTGAACCAGGACTGAATCAGGACTACACCAGGACTGAACCAGGACTGGACCAGGACTAAACCAGGACTAAAACAGAACTGAACCAGGACTAAACCAGGACTGGACCAGGACTGAACCAGAACTGAACCAGGACTAAACCAGAACTTAACCAAGATTAAAACAGGACTATACTAGGACTAAACCAGGACTAAACCAAGTCTAAACCAGGACTAAACCAGATCTAAACTAGGTCTAAACCAGGACTAAAGCAGGACTAAAACAGGACTAAACCAGACTCAAACCAGGACGAACTGAACCAGGATTACACCAGGTCTAAACAAGGTCTAAACCAGGACTGAACCAAGAAGACTAAACCAGGTCTAAACCAGATCTAAACCAGGACTAATCTTGGACTTGAGAGACAATGAATCGTTTTGGTGCAGCAATAAGTAAAAAAAAAAAAAAAAAAAAAACAGAGCGAACTACAAAGACCATGATCCTTTGCTCCAGTTCAGCACAGAACTACATGAAGAAACAACAATTCTAAGCACTTTTTCTAGGCATTTTTAGTCAACCTTTACAAAATATCGCAATAAATATCGTACCGAGAGACTTGGATATCGTTAAATTCCTACTTTTTACTCTTATTTGACTTATTTTTTAGACCACGACCTTTGTACTTTTACTTGACTGATTTGAGTTGAAGTAATCTGTTCCCACCTCTGGGTTTCGTGTCGTATAAATTTCCTTCACCGCTATTTGGATCAAAGTCTTAAAACCCAAACACTTTCACTCCGTAATCTTCTTTTCACAAATATTCCGACATTAAGACGAGTAAATATTTAGCGGCACCAACCGAGTCTTCATCTTGTATAATTTATCTTTCCTAAACGTCTCTTTGAACTGTCTCTCTTTGGCTCTGTTGACTCGGTTTCACACAGTCTCCGTCCGGTCCTGACCTTTTTTAAGCCTCTCTCTGCTTCGGGGCCACTGCCGGTCCAAGTCCGAGAGGATATTCTGCACTGAAACCGCCGCGTTTTTCTGAAGTTTAGAGGAACAGAACAGAAATAGCCCGGTGTGAATGTGGCGGCGCGGCTCTCGGATCAGAGAGTGAAGGTGAGACTGTTCCTCAAATACAGACGGAAACTGTTCGACCGACGACTCAAAGAAAAAAAGGGACGGGTAAAATGATCAAGTTACGTTTGTTTTTGCAGTTATTTGGCCCAGATTTGTGTGATAATGTTTCTGGAGTTGGAGGACAAAGGGATGTTTGAATTCTATGTGTCGTGGATAATAGGAAAAAATGATTATTTACCATCGTACATGTGACATTTTGATGCCTAAACTGGTGCAACGAGAAATGGAGACTGGGATTTAGGTCGGGACTGAGACCAGGACTGAGACTGGGACTAGAGTGGGACTGAGATCAGGACTGAGACCGGGACTGAGTCCAGGACCAGACTGGGACTAGAGCGGGACTGAGTCCGGGATCAGAGTGGGACTGAGGCCTGGACTGAGACCGGGATCAGAGAGGGACTGAGGCCTGGACTGAGACTGAGACAGGACTGAGACTGGACCAGACTGGACTGAGACTGGGACTGAGACTGGACTGAGAGACGGGACTGAGAGCGGGACTGAGACCTGGGACCAGAGCGGGACTAAGACTGGGACCAGAGCGGGACTGAGACTGGGACCAGAGCGGGACTGAGACTGGGACCAGAGTGGGACTGAGACCGGGACTCAGGTCGGGACTGAGACTGGGACCACATCGGGACTAAGACTGGGACCAGAGCGGGACTGAGACTGGGACCAGAGCGGGACTGAGACTGGGACCAGATTGGGACTGAGACTGGGACCAGAGCGGGACTGAGACTGGGACTGAGACCGGGCCAGAGTGGACTGAGACCAGGACTGAGACCGGGATCAGAGCGGGACTGAGCCCAGGACTTAGGTCAGGACTGAGATCGGGCCTGAGACCAGGACCAGACCGGGACCAGAATAAAGGAGAGGGGGACAGAGGTGTAGGTTCTGCTTTGTTGAGTTTCCGCTCTCTGTACTGTAACATCGACTCGTTTCCCACGGCAACAGTGAGCGTCTCGTCCATGTTGAATAAAAGTTCACGTTTGTCTCATCTTTATCCGTCACTATCAGAACACAGACCCCGATCGGTTGATGTGACACAAATATTCGTAGAAAGTTCAAAAATTTCAACTTTTGCAAATTTCCCGAGCCCCTCCCTTTCTTGGGAATTCGCACATTAATGCCAGTTTCACAAATTTGCGCCGCTCAAAACGCTCAAAACACCCAGTCACACCACAGAACTTTATTCATACGAACATTGAACACGGCTTAAGAGTGGAATTACTTTGGATTATACTTTTATTTTTCATTTTTTTCAAAGTAAAAATCAGGCACAGCGTCTTTAACATTCAGGACGAGGAGGATTTTTTATTTATTTATTTTATTTTGATCACATTATATTTGTATAAAATGCGTTAAAATTGAAATCAACAAATGTGCATCGGGAAAACACTAAACCGTGATAATATCGTGAGCCGTGTATCGAGTATCGTATCGAATCGTGAGGGACCCTGTGATTCCCGGCTCTATTTGACGCAGTAATGGACGGTCGGGCATCCGCAGACGCATCACGACCCGGAGCACGTGTCCCTCCGCCGTGTGAAGCGTTCGCTGACCCCGTAAATAACAGTGTTTTGTATGTTTCCCCGCGTCGTGTGGTTCGGCTCAAACGGACCAGAGGTAATTTGATTTAGCTGTGGGCATCTGCCATCGACCGAGCGCCCGGCGGACACCACGCTCCTCAAGAGTCTCCTCGACGACACGCCGACGACAGACGCGCGGAACGCAGAGAGAGAGAGAGAGAGAGAGGAGAGAGAGAGAGGGAGAGAGAGAGAGAGAGAGAGAGAGAGAGAGAGAGAGAGAGAGGAGAGAGAGAGAGAGAGAGAGAGAGAGAGAGAGAGAGAGAGAGAGAGAGAGAGAGAGAGAGAGAGAGAGAGAGAGAGAGAGAGAGAGAGAGAGAGAGAGAGAGAGAGAGAGAGAGAGAGAGAGAGAGAGAGAGAGAGAGAGAGAGAGAGAGAGAGAGAGAGAGAGAGAGAGAGAGAGAGAGAGAGAGAGAGAGAGAGGAGAAGAGAGGAGAGAGAGAGAGAGAGAGAGAGAGGAGAGAGAGAGAGAGAGAGAGAGAGAGAGAGGAGAGAGAGAGAGAGAGAGAGAGAGAGGAGAGAGAGAGAGAGAGAGAGAGAGAGAGAGAGAGAGAGAGAGAAGAGAGAGAGAGAGAGAGAAGAGAGAGAGAGAGAGAGAGAGAGAGAGGAGAGAGAGAGAGGGAGAGAGAGAGAGAGAGAGAGAGAGAGAGGAGAGAGAGAGAGAGAGAGAGAGAGAGAGAGAGAGAGAGAGAGAGAGAGAGAGAGAGAGAGAGAGAGGAGAGAGAGAGAGAGAGAGAGAGAGAGAGAGAGGGAGAGAGAGAGAGAGAGAAGAGAGAGGAGAGAGAGAGAGAGAGAGAGAGAAGAGAGAGAGAGAGAGAGAGAGAGAGAGGAGAGAGAGAGAGAGAGAGAGAGAGGAGAGAGACGAGAGAGAGAGGAGAAGAAGAGAGAGAGAGAGAGGAGAGAGAGAGAGAGAGAGAGAGAGGGAGAGAGAGAGAGAGAGAGAGAGAGAGAGAGAGAGAGAGAGAGAGGAAGAGAGAGAGAGAGAGAGAGAGAGAGAGAGAGAGAGAGAGGGAGAGAGAGAGAGAGAGAGAGAGGAGAGAGAGAGAGAGAGAGAGAGAGGAGAGAGAGAGAGAGAGAGAAGAGAGAGGAGAGAGAGACAAGAGAGGAGAGAGAGAGAGAGAATGAGAGAGAGAAGAGAAGAGAGAGAGAGAGAGAGAGAGAGAGAGAGGAGTGAAGGAGAGAAGAGAGCAGAGGAGATAGAGAGACAGAGAGAAGAGAAGAGAGAGAGAAGAGAGAGAAAGAGGAGGGAGAAGAGAGAGCACGGAGAGAGAGAGGAGTGAGACATAGAGAGCACAGAGTTGAGAGTGAGAGAGAAAGGAAGGGAGAAAGGAGAGAGCATGGAGAGAGAAGAGATGGAGAAGAGGGAGAAGAGAGAGAGCACAGAGAAAGAAGAGGAGGAGAGAGAAGAGAAAGCACAGAGAAAGAGGATGGAGAAGAGGAAGAGTAAAGAGAGTGAGAGGAGGGAGTAGAGAGAGAGCACGGAGGAAGGGTGAAAGAGACAGAGCATGGAGAGAGAGAGGGAGAGCTGGAGGCAGAGAGAGAGAGAGAGAAGGAGGGAGAAGAGAAAGCACGGAGGAGAGAGCGATAGCTGGAGGGAGAGAAAGAGAGGAGGGAGAGAGAGAAAGAAAAGATGAGAGGGAGAGAGAAAGGGGAGACGAGTGAGAGCGAGAGAGAACAGAAAGATGGAGAGAGAGAGAGAGCGGGTAACAGAAGGAAGAGAGAGAGAATAAAGAGAGGGAGAGAAAGGGAAGATAGAGGCCAAAAATGAGAGAGAGAATAGAGAAACAGGAGGAAAAAAAGAGAGGAGAGCCAATAGAAGAGCGGCAAGAAAAGAAGATGGGAGGTGGAGAGAAAAGGAGAGAGAGAAAAAAAGAAAAAAAAAGAAAGAGAAACAGAAAGAGAGAGAGAGAGACATATTGAAAGGTCACATTTAAGTGCATCTAAACTTCTCTCATGTCTAATGTCAATGGGGCTAAGCAGCTTCAGGCTATGATTTCAAATACACACACTCGCGCACACACACACACACGAACACACACACACACACACACACACACTCGCACACACACACACACGAACGCACACACACACACACTCGCAAACACAAGTGAAGTCTGAGTCTGAAGGAGTTCAACTGAAGGGCAGCGCAAGTTAAACACTGGAAATACTGAGAGAAAAACTTTACCTACGTCGGACTCTTTTGCATTTGAACATTGAAACATAAAGTAAAGATGCATTGCGGAACTTTTAAGACCGTTTTACAGCTTCAGCGGCGATTTCACACGTCCAAACTCACACGGACACACTCGGGGAGGGAATAAACTTGTTGACGAAAGTGCCGTGTTTCGCTCTGGATTACAGGCGAGTTTCGTTGTTGACAAAAGCGCGCGTTGCATGCTGGGAGTTATTTTGGTCGGCGGCAAGAAACACTAATTCAACATGACGGACGGAGCAAGAAAGAACGTAAAGGGTATTGATCCCGATTATTTATCCACTCTAACGGCAGACGACCCAAGACCATTTGACCAGAAATTGTTCATAAGCATCGACGGACGACAAATCACCCTTTTCAACCCTGACAAAGCCTGGACTAAGGATGGGCATGATTATTCGATTAATCGATAATTGATCATTAAGAATTTCATCGATTACGTTCATTTTAATCGACAAACCGAATGTAGGTTGCTGTGTGTAGTGTGACCAAACAGAGGTCCATACATTTGTCAAGGAGCGAGACACAAACAGTGGGTCAGTCTGCAACGTACCGAAGCACAAATGTGTATTTAACGATGATTTGTACAAGAAATTCCACACTTTCTGTTGCGTTCGGGACAAGTGTGAGTCCATGTGCACAGTGTATAAAGCAGCACATATGTTTCTGTGTCCAGTGGGAAAAAGTTTTACCAGGTGAGAGTCGCGTAATGTGGATGACGAGGCCCCGCCCCCCTCCCCCCGTACGGTGTCCTGGTTTTGACAAACGCAAATCTGGTCACACTGACCTGTATTCACCTGAGTCATGTCTTTTAATCTGACAGAAGTTGAACCACATCAGCGACACAAGAGTCCTGGTTTCGACCTGGTTTAGACCTAGTTTAGTCGTGGTTTAGTCCTGGTTTAGTGCCGGTTTGGACCTGGTTTAGTCCTGGTTTAGATCTGGTTTAGTGGTTTAGACCTGGTTTAGACCTGGTTTTAGTCCTGGTTTAGTCCTGGTTTAGTGCCGGTTTGGACCTGGTTTAGTCCTGGTTTCGACCTGGTTTCGACCTAGTTTAGTCCTGGTTTAGTGCCGGTTTGGACCTGGTTTAGTCCTGGTTTCCTGGTTTAGATCTGGTTTAGACCTGGTTTAGTCCTGGTTTAGTCCTGGTTTAGTGCCGGTTTGGACCTGGTTTAGTCCTGGTTTAGATCTGGTTTAGACCTGGTTTAGTCCCGGTTTGGACCTGGTTTATTCCCGGTTTGGACCTGGTTTAGTCCTGGTTTGGACCTGGTTTAGTCCTGGTTTAGTCCTGGATTAGTCCTGGTTTAGACCTGGTTTAGTCCTGGTTTAGTCCTGGTTTAGTCCTGGTTTGGTCCTGGTTTAGTCCTGGATTAGTCCTGGTTTGACCTGGTTTGGAGTCCGGCAATGAGTGGAATTACAAAAAAAAAAAAAAGTGGAAAATGTAAAAACAGTAAAATCCCTCTGTGTAATCCATTTATTTCAACTAAAGTAACTGTAATCCAATTACCACTCACTGAAATTTGTACTACAGTTACTCAAACTCCATACTTAACTCCAGTACATGTAATCTGTTACTCCCCAACACTTGGTTTTACAGACTTAAAACAGATATAATAATTGTAAAAAGTCAAGTTAAATACTTCGCTTCGTTCAGCAGCTCTGTTTGAAACACATTTGTGGGCAGAGTTTAGACGTTTAATCCTGCTTTAAAGTTTCATTTTCTGACACAGTAGACTTGTGCATCGCTGTAACTTTCTCTGTACTTTCAAAATCTGTCCTTTTTTTTTTTTTTTTTTTTTACACCAAACTCTATCAGCTGCTGCTTTGTCCTGAGATCGGCCGTCATCAGCAGAAGCGCGACATAAACCCTCTCCCGCCTCTGGGATTTAAACAGACACGAGCGAGAAGAAAAAAAAGAGGTCAGTGGATCTGCTGACGGCTTTTTCGTTTCATAACCGTCTCTGTTCTCCGGATCGGTCCTGCTCCTGCGCGACTCGTGGGTCTGTGCGTCGAGGAGGGGGACGTGACAAAGGGCTGTTTAAACTCCAGGAGCCCGGGGCCGGCGCTCGAGGTCTGTATTTAGCTCCAGCTCCTCGGGACGAAGAGAAAGAGTGAGTTTATTCAAAGGGTGAAAGAGAGAGAAAGAAGAGAGAGAACGGAGGACGAAGATCTGCAGAACGTCGAAGAGTTTGTGTGCTGCGCCGCAACAAACCCGAGACTGACAGAATTAAACAAACTTACAAACACTTTAACAGCACTAATTATTTAATGTCACTCCTTATTTTTTATTTTTTTATTTTTCCCCGAGTGGATTAAGGGTTTGCATGTGGATTGGCCCAGTAATTACAGAGATATAAATGTGGGAAATATTCTGTGTTGATGCTGATTCACCCAATATTTTGTACCTTGGAATGACAACAGGGAGAAAAACACGTATGTCTATCTATAGTTCTATAAAAGACATGTTTTTCTGTACTTTGAGATGCCACGAAGCAGAAAACTGACGTATGTGGACCCCGTGGCCTGTACCCACCCATGATAAAGTGCACCGGGTCAGCATTATTGTTCATTTTCTTGCTGTATACGCTAAATCAACAAGTTAATGTTTCGTCAGATGGGTGGTATAAAGTTACCCCTCGTTGTGAGTTGGGCAGAGGCGTCGTTCCGGGGTGGCAGTTGTACTTGGTGATCAACTTGAATTCTCTCTCAATGGAAAATGCTGAAATAAAGTGGCCTGTTCTCGGATCCTTCCATCTTTTGTGCTTCTTTCTAGGACACGCACTGAACTCTTCCGAAAAAACCCACATAAGACCAGACGTGTAGAGATCGACTGATATAAAGACTGGCCGATATTTGCACTTTTTAAAGGGTTCCCACGGTCACGGAAAGCCTGGAAACATCATGGAAATTGAGAATGTCATGTAAAAGGTCTGGAAAAGCCATGGAATAGAGGCTTTGCACTGTCACTTCAGCAGCATCGGAGAAACATGGGCAGGTTTTGTTGCGTATTTGGTTGTTCTAGACCAGGGGTGTCAAACTCATTTTGGTCCGAGGGGCCGTATCCAACCCGACTTTGATCCCAAAGTCGTGTCCGGATCAGAAAACTCATGTCATATAAACCCCAAAAATAACAATAAGTTCAAATATTTGTGCAGAGAAACACAAATCTATTACAGAAATCTTTTTTAATTGATGAACTCTTTGTTTTACAAAATATTAAAATATTATGAACAACCTGAAACTTTAAGAAAATCCTGCACTCGGCTCCACTTTTCTCATGTTGGACATTTTTCTGATGAGGGTGTCACGGTCAACAGTCAAAACGATCGTCCTTTAAGAGCGTTTGGAAAGAGACAAGTCTTCATTTGTGCTGCTCTGGTGGGAGGGCCACGTACAGAGACACTGGAGACGCTGATTGTGATAAACACCACAGAAAATTTAACAATATTTTAATAAAAAATATAATTAAAATATTTTAGTAGAAAATCAGCCGAGGGCCAGATTAAAGGTCTTGGAGGGCCGGATCTGGCCCCCAGGCCGGATGTTTGACACCTGTGTTCTAGACGCTCTGAAAGGGATAAAATGATTCGTTTCTTTTACTCATGAGGAGCTCAGACAAGGGAATTATCGGAAAAAAACGGGAATTATGTCTAGAGAACATAAACCGCGAAGAGATTTCCTCTGGTACCATCAAGACACACTCACGTCACTTTCATCAAGGTATTTGCTATTTAAACTGTTTCATAGATTATTTAATGAGAGAAGCACATTTACTGAACTAAAACTAAACTAAAAGACGTTATTGTCCCGTCACGAACAAAGAGCAGCGATTGGTTAAATAAAAAACAGTACCTGCCCACTGTCGAGTGAACGAATCCTAACGCTGTGAGCTCAGATGGCAAGAGCAAGGGGGTCTGGTTTTAAAGACTGTTTTATTTGACATA